AGACAGCTGTTCGAATCAATTAAAACAAACATTTCACAGTTGCAGCATGGGTTCATCAGGGGTAGGTCAACGACATCAAATTTGGTCTTGATAAGCGACTTTATATCAGCAGCAATGGAAGCCGGGGACCAGGTTGACGTGATCTATACTGATCACAGCAAATGTTTTGATCGCATAGATCACGTCAAACTGCTCTCAAAAATTAACAAACTTGGGGTTCGTGGCAATCTTTTTCGATGGTTTGCTTCTTATATTGACAATAGATCTCAGCAGCTGTTGCTAAGCAGTTGTTGTTAGTAATCATATTTCTAGCTGGGCCAAAATATCAAGCGGCGTGCCTCAGAGATCTTCACTCGGACCGTTGCTCTTCACTACTTTTACTAATGATATTCATTCGTGTTTGACTTTAAGTAACCTCCTATGTTTTGCCGATAACATGAAAATATATTCCAGGATTTCAACCAAGTTTGAAGCTGAGGCTCTCCAAACTGACTTGTTGCTGCTTAAGAAATATTGTATTTCTAATAAATTAGACTTAAATCCTGCCAAATGCTCAATAGTAACCTACAGTCGCAAAAACAATCCCTTAGTGTTTAATTATATGCTCGGCGGCCAGGTCCTTAAACGTGGAAACACAGCACGTGATCTGGATGTCACATTCGATAATAAACTTTTGTTTAATGCGCACATAGATGAAATAGTTACCAAAGCATCACGTGCGCTGGGGTTTGTGATGCGTCGTTCTAGTGAGTTTCGGGATATAAAGACAGTTAAAATCTTGTACTGTACGTTTGTTCGAAGTATTTTAGAATACGCTCATACGCCTCTCATATTTGGAACCCGCAATACGAGGTGTACTCTTCGCGCATAGAACGCATTCAAAAAAGATTTATTCGTTATCTGTGTTTCCGTACTAAACGCCAATATCATAATGAAGATTATCTGCATATTTGCAAAAGCCACCTTATTCTTCTTCTTTATATGCTTCGTCAAATAGCCGATTGCACATATATTTTAAAAATAGCTCAGAATACAATTGATTTAAAAATAAGTTAAAAATAGCCGCTGAAATAGATTTTCTCTGACTACGCTGAAAATTGGAATGTAGAGGCCTCTAAAAGTGCCGGGTAATAATTTGTGGTCAAAATTGGTTTTTCGCCATTTTCAAATATCGCCGCCATAGAAGCGTTCGTTAGCGGCAGAAAAAAAATTGCTTTGATCCCTTTGAAAATTGGCATGTGTGGTTATCTGGGAGTGCTTGATAATAATTTGTGATCTAAATTGGTACTTCGCCATTTTTGAATATGGCCGCCATACAAGCGTTTATAAAAATTTGCTCTAATTCAACTGAAAATCGGTACGTCGATCGGGTCTCTATAGGTGTTTGATAATAATTAACGGTCAAAATTTATTTTTCGCCATTTTTCAACATGGCTGCCAAACAAACTTTTTTGGCGATAGATAAAAATTTCTTCTAATTCGACTGAAAATGGCATGGCTTCAATCACAATTTAGAGTAAAAATTTTGTTTGCACCGTTTTTCGATGTAGCCGTTATTTTTTATGTAAATGGCTGTTGAAAAAACTTGCTTTGCTCGGACTAAAAATTGGCACGAAAAGCTTTCTAAAATTGTTTGATAAAAATTTGTGGTGAAAATATATTTTTGCAATTTTTAAATATGGCCGCCGTTAAAGAGCTGATTCATTTTGTTTTTAAAAGTCCTAAGTGCCGAGGCCGTAGCCCGAAGCGTACGCACGCTATCGTATGGAGGTAATTATACGAAGGCGTAATAGATTACGAGCACACGATCTCACAATTGTAAAAATGTAAGGCATACTTCCCGATGTAGTGGAAATGAGATGTATCTCAACCGTCTCTGTTAGATTCCATTTTCTTGAAAGCTATGCCAAAGGGAAGTATTTAGGGGGAAAAAATGCCAAACTACTGCCTAATTTACTAGGTTAGGTACTATGAATACCAAACGATAATCCAGAATACTCAGACCAAAACCAACTTAGAAATGTTCGTTTCTTAAATTGGCCCAAATCGGGAATAGACCTCCTCATCAAGCGCCCATAGTACTAACTGCTGTGCCACCGAAGTGCATGCGCACACCCCGTAAACTGAACCCGACCACGCGCCGCAGGCCGAGCCCGACCACACCGTAGGTGGGGTACAGGACTCGTATTTGTATATAATTATCGTTTACCATGAAGAAATAAAAATAAAAAATAAAAATAAAGTCCAAATTCGTTATACGAGTATCATTTGCGTTGGGTCCGTCGTGTACACATTGGACACTGGTATAGTTATCACTTAGTTTAGAACTTCTGCTATTTGACGTCTTATGAGAACCCGCTACAGCTGATCGTCAGACACTATGGTTTGTCAAACTGCTATCAATTACTGCGTAAATGCCTTTTAGCGATGAATGGTTGGTGCCTCTCTTTCACCTGAAGCACGCTAATATTAAAAAAACTTGCACCTGGTGGTAAGCGAGACGCCTGTCCATAGCAGTTGCAGAGCTTTAAATAGCAAAGATACAAAGGGCACTGCCACTACGCCCGTCACCCTGAGACATAAGTTGACAACTCCCATGTCCCTGTAATTTCACCAGCACCCTTACTTTTCAAAATCGGAACGCAGTAATGCTTTCATTACCGCGTGGCGGCAGTAATAGGTAAGGTTCTCACCTAACAGCCTAGCCCTAACCATACACTAGTATATATACGTATATAGATAGGTAGAGGAAGCCTGTTACCATGCACCTAAGGTAACAGACGGAAGGTGGGAAGGATAAGGGGTGCAAGGAGAGGATTTTCTCACTGCCAGTCTCACAGACTCACAAGACTGATCAGATAAGCTGACAACTAAAGGTGTCTTAGCCGTAGTGAGAGGATGCTGTAGTCAGGAGAGTTCCCTCGTCGTCAATGAGAGAGCGTTGATGTCTGGATTCAAAGAGATCTTTATTTCTAAAAACTAGACTATTTATACAAATTCTATTTACATGTGTTGTGACGTTCGTACCCAGGATGTGGTAAATAAAATACGATTTGTCAACAACAAATAAATAAAGAGTATTTATTTAAAAATTTATAAACCGTGGTTCGAAGGGCCTAACTTTTAGTCTGATTTCACTTCCGTAGTTCGGTAGTCCCCTGGACACGGTGGCGGCTGCGGGGTCTTCCCTATAAGGCAGCGCCGGGGTTCTGGTACGTATCGGGGTACGCCGGGTCAGTGGGTTGTGGTTTCCGTCCAAGCCCTAGGCAAGTAGGAAGGCTGGAGCGGTGCAGTAGGGTCGTAAACGACGACGGTGGCTATTCTAGCCGTGGTATAATAATACCCTGTGAATAAATGCCCACAGTGAGAATATGTTGGTGAACCTCCGCTGATTGTGAACCCCTTTTACTATGTGCACCTAATATTATAGGGAGAAGCCGAAAGCAGTTGGTGTGGGTGTTCACTATCAGAGCGGAGTTACATAGTTGAAACAGAATGACTTACTTTTTTTTTTTCTTATAAACAGCGAGTTACAATGAAATAATAGCATCAAAAAATTATGATTAGACAATAAAAGATTGCCTTGAAAGATTGTTAAGGCGCTAATAAATGCACAACCAAGAGGCTGCGGACAAGCACTAACTTAGGACTAAACACTGCCTAAAACATATAATATACGTTTGTTCAACACTTACCCTATTGGGGTGCGAGATTACACTTTTTAACTGTATTTAAAAGTCTTCCAATTACGTTGGAAGTTGAGAAAAGGTTGTACTCAAATTAATTTTATTCTATTCCAACGCGTAATAAGACACGTTACGGAAATTTTGGACAACATGTATATATACAACTGATATAGATCCGCCGCGGACAAGGCGAGATGCAGTTATGACCGTCCTTGGTCTGTCCTCTATCACCAACGGTCGTGATGACGACAAAAAACGGGTTCATAGAGAAGCTTCGATATGACGCGGTCGCTCGTCCAATGAGCGCTCTTAAAAAATGGAATACATAAAGTTGACTAAAACAATAAAAATGTTGACTATTACGAGTTATTCCTCGACTAGCAACAACAATACGTTACACTGCCGGGCTCGGGTCCTTTCTAAAGTTTTTCTTTTAGTTTTTGTAAATTCGCAATAAAATGTTAGAGTACAATAAAATGATAACCTATGTACGTGCAACGTTATAGTATGCGAGTATATCTACAATATATTTTTTATTATATTTTTTAATGGAAAACAAAGGAAACATCTACTCAGCTGGCTTGTCTTGCACATTGCTATTCGGTCAGTGCACTGCTGAGTAGTATATTATCGTCACGTGGTAATTTGTCAGATTGTCTGTTCATGTCACGTGAACGTGAACATATCTATAGATTTCGTAACAGTATTTAGAATTACTTCGCCTCGTCATCTCATTAATCATCGTTTGTATTTTTGTTTAATTTTTATCCCCTTGTATATTATTTAATTTTTATCCATATAGAAGAAACTGTATGCTTAGGTACTTTTTAATATTATGTTTACGAGCTGAATAATCGTGCTGTATGTACATATGTTATGTTTGGTTTACTTTCTAGATTAAAACCATAAATTTGAATATTGATTGGAGTACCAATGAATGTAAACTGTTTTGTGCATCTAATAAATAAATAAATTAGGCAAACTGCGTTTTGTAAATACGAAAAACTCCCTTGCCTCACGATTTTTTGCTTAGTCGAAGTCAAAGTTATATATCTCAGCTTTAGAGATCCCCCACACTATCATCTTTCGAGCGTCAGCAGCGTCATGCCAACTCACGCACAGCGTCCGCGAAGCGGAGACGCAACGCCAGGCTGGGCGACTGCGGAATAGTACTAAACTTCGGGTATACGAAGCGCTAGCTCATGTCGACGCTGTGACCGCTGTGCGTGTGTTGTCAAAACGCTGATTCTGAAAAGTCGCTAATGTGGGGGGTCTCTTAGATTACTACCAACCATAGTGGTCCATTTGTTACAGGACATGTGGTTAATCTGCCATGGGCGTTACTGGTAGAAGGAGATATAATAGTTCTAAGGCCAGGACAAGAAGCGCCTGGACATTGCCATGGGCTGCAACCTGGAGACCCAGAGCTGTTCTTTGGACAGACCTTTAAACCTAGCTCACAGGTATTACTTTTAACCTAAATTTTTAGATGATAATTTGTTCTTCTGTAGATAATATCATCCCCTTTTTATCTTATCAAGTGTAAGGGCGCATTTATTCGACACGAATTGCATCGCGCTCACGTTGCTGCCGCGCAGCGACCGCGTGCGTCTAACTGTCATGGCAAAATATGCTCTATTTATTTAGCTTTTACGTTTTAACTTAAACGAGCGTCCCGCATTGAACGGCACGCGGGCGAGGTTGGCTAGAATTTGGTCTACGCGGCGGCAACGCGGCCTCCGCTTGGCGAGAGGAATTTAAATGTTGTTGACTAGTAAATAGAATTCAGATTCGCCATTAAACGAAAGTCTAGCGTAACTGGGCGCTTAGGATGAATGAACCGTACGTCTGGTGGTAAGCGACACACGCACAATGCGGCCAAAATACGGCGCCGACCACTGCGCAAAGTCGATCCCGGATCCCTCCCACTGGAGCACCCGAGAAGGGCACTGTGGGGTATAGCCTCTCCACTGCCCCCGCGGCGGAGATATTCTAGGAAAATTTCCCCGCGAAAAAAAGGTGATACCTAAACTAAACAAAAATTTGTTTACTTGTATCTTAGGTATACAATAAAATGCCGTTCTCTAGGTGTTTTGTTTTAATTAGGTAGAGTAGCGACATAAGTAATCTTCATATGTGTATACTGTCTTTTGCAGCATAAAGAAAACTTCAATTCACCTAGAATAAGGATGCCCCATCAAAACAAAGCTTATAGAATGTGCGAAACGCCATATTTGAAGAATCTAAAATTGGCCTTGGAGCAAGGCACGACGCGACCGCTCACCGTGTTCGAAAAACAGAGGTACTTGGTAAGTTAAATAAAGATGTACAAAATAAGGATAAACGGCGTTAAAATATACAAATACAGTGCAATAAACTAAATAGCGAATCTTTGAAACAATATTGTTTTTGTTTTGAAATGAAATTATTTTATAATAATGAAATATTTTTGGGACTCTGCCAGCAAACCAATTTTTCACCGGAGTTTGACACGACTGGCATTAACATTGGGGGAGGCAGCAAGTCTCGGTACTAACCAGACCAGAGGCTAGGAGTGGAACGTTTGATGGTTAATAAAACCAACTCCAAACCACAATATTTCCTTTCTTAACTTGGCTATAGAGAATCTTAAGTAGCTCAGGGCTCCCTTTATACATAATTTTTTTTTTTTTAATAATAATACCATAGAAGAGAAAAGAAAAGGCTGTAACATAATCTCAGTACAGAGTACTAAAAAAACCGACCTCAAAAGTACGTGAAATTACATATAATTACTAAGTTTTATTGAAATCGGTTACCGGAATGTGCGCAAACACGGATTCACCCCCTAGTTCGCCACTATACGGGACTTGACACAGGATATAATAAAAATCGGTTCTCACTACCCAAAGTATATTAAGTGAGAAAAACGCCTTGAATTAATGAATAGCAAAATCAACCATTAAAATAATTGCTCATTATACTAAAATTTAGGCGCTATTTATAAAAATGAATCTTCATGCGTGAACAGCCACCCTTAGAGGTGGATGATTTTCTTCAAAATTAAATGGGACCACTATGGAGGTACCCCTTTCCAACAAAAAAAGAATCATGAAAATTGGTTCACAAATACCGGAGTTATCGCGTAACATACATACATATAAAAAAAAACATACTGTCGAATTGAGAACCTCCTCCTTTTTTTGAAGTCGGTTAAAAAATAATACAATTATATAAAAACGTTCAAACAGTATAAAATACTCGCTACTAATGCTAAACAGTCTTATAAACTGTCTACTTACCCCAAAGAGGCCGTATGTACGAGTATATACGTCATCCCGGCTTTTATATCTCTCCTAATTCCTAGCCACTTATACATTTTTAGATAGTTCTCAAATACTTCTTCTTTTGATGAGAAAGAAGTATATGACGTAAAGAAGTTACTTTAGAGTTCATCAAAAAATGAAGATACTCCCATGGGCACGTCCTCTCGCTTTGAGAATGTTGATGGGAACGATGACAATCAAACCAATGTAAGAATAATGGAAGGAAAAGGAATTCGAAAACTATTCAAAAATGTATAAATAAGTGGCCAGGAATCAGGAAAGAGGGTAATAAAAAGGCGGGATGACGAAGAAAGGGGTCAGCATTCTTTTAATATAATTTTTTTCAGTGTACAGTGAAAATAATGGAAGGCATAGTATTGCCCCTTGTGATATCCCTAGTAGTGGTCGCGAGTTTCGTCCGGCACGTTTACCATTTGCCGGGTGTAACGCACTGGTCAGAAATATACTTTCTACAAACCATCGCCGCCTCATTGCCGCTGTTGCAAATCGTCTTCCCTATCGCTTGGGTCACACTAAACTGCTATGGACTGGCAAGGTAATGAAGCGTGAAACACACTGAAAGCGGGTGCGGGTCAGACGCGTGTCGGGTCGGGAACGCGGCGGGTGTAATTCCGTGTATTTATATAGACGACACACACCACTTATATAAATACACGGAATTACTCACTCCACGCTCCCGACCCGACCCGCACCCGCTTTCAGTGTGTTTCATACTTAAGTGGGCCTCACTTGGTCACAGACACATTACTCATCTCATTTTCCAACCGTAACCAAGGGTTAGATTTTTGTTCGCTGTGTAATCTAAGGCTTTCGTCTCGAAAATCTCGGTCTTGGAAAGAATAATGCCCAAGTTCCGTAGGGTCTTGAACCAGCAAAAAAAATTAACGACCATCAATTTATACAGGATACAGATACAGGATTTAATTTGTTTTTCCATATAGTTTCTAATTACACTGGATTTATATTTTTTAACTAGTAAAAGTTGATTTAAACAACATTTTCTTTTTGAAGTATGTTAATGAACATTAACATGTTACTTTTACGCGCGTGTTTTCTATACAAACTGAGATACTTCGATACAACGTTAAAAAACGCAGCTGCGCACACCGTTGCGTGACGCGAAACAGTGTAATAATCGCCTTAAGACCTACGTTTATAGGATCATTGTTTGTCGGTGTCACAATTATAGTAACTTTCATTCCTAATTATCACGACGTGAATTGAAGAACTCATGGCAAGTGCAAACGAGGCTTAAAATAACAGGTCATGTGAGTTGTGTTACGTTCAAAAACAAACATTTACAATTTTCTTTTCACGTATTAAACTATAATGAAAATAGAAGTAAATTTGCTTCTTTATCCGCGAACCCAATGAAGGGTAAATCGTGCAATTAGCAGTAGAGCTCCACCTTAATAGGGTCAGGCGTTACTTTGCTGATATGGGAGTAAATTACTACGCCGCGAACGCAACAACTATTTTTTTTTATACTATCAAGTGACGGGACGAACAAGTCGTGCGCCTCGTGTTAACTAATACACCTGTCCATGACAGTAATTTTGACCATCTTGGTAGCCCAGCACTTGGTAACACTTTGGGCGCTAGATGAGGAGGCCTCGTGTTAAACTTTCGGTAGGATTAATGTGACTATTATTTTTTTCCCTCAGAGCGGGACATACACAAAACACATGTTTATGACAGTTAGGATTTAATGTTTAAAATTGTTTGAAAAATGGCTAAAATCAAAAATTAAAAAAACTAATCTTGTGTAGTCTGGTGGGCTGGCTTTATATATTTTTCGCTTTCGCGCCATTTTTTTAAATTTCTTGTCACGTGCGTCCAGTTTAGTAAAAGCGGAACATTTTTAAGTATTTTGAAGACAGCGGGACATGAAGCTTAAAAGCGGGACTGTCCCGCTTAAAGCGAGGCGTATGGTCACTTTAGGTAGAACCAATTTACGAAATTATTTTTTTAAACTTTATTCCAGTTTAAGTATTCTAGGTAGCGCCACTAAAGGTGAATTCCGATGCTCTGTTATTCATAGCACAGGGTATTCCCTATATTACGATTTAGTCGTTGGTATGGGTTTCTGGCACATTATTATTATAATATACTTGTAATTTCCAGGTTCAAACTCCTATCCGAGACTCGACAGAAATACGTCCGCCCCAAATCGTGCTCCATCTCAGAGGACGCCAGCGATCCTTTAATACAGGCTTTAAGCGAATCTAACCTCAAACCGGAAAGCCTCAAGTCTTTAGGGAAAACCTTTTTCAATATCCTTACTGGAAATGAAGATATGGTCGCCAGAACAGCCAATATAGTACATGTGCTCGGCTCTTTATCAGTAAGTAATTTCGACGGCTAAATTAGTAAACCTTGTAACCTCTATCAGTTTATGTCAATCCACCCTATAATATCGATAAAATATTATAGTGTGTTTTGACATCATCGAGTATATAATGTCATGACGAAATGTCATTTAATTTGTTTGACAACTATTCTGCCAAATCATTACGGTGACAACTGCGCTCCCATTGGCCAGCCCGAATTCGAAACAAATGACGGGTGTCGTAAATTGTTTCACTTTAAATAGACCAGTTTAACTTGAGCTTTGCTATAGTGGATGAAAATTTAAAAATTACATATTTAATTACCGACAAAATGTGATACCGTTTATTTTGTAATTAGATGTTTAGCTTATTTTCCCACACCACCAAATGGAACAGCCCCCCATAGTTAGAGATATTATCTTTATTGTAATAAATTCAGAATATTTTTGGAATGTACAGAGACATACACACAGGCCAGTTGTTAGCGCTGTACTGTTTCAGCTTTCTAATTTGTGATTTCAGTGCAAACGAGAGTGATATTTAAAAGTGATATATGGCTCATTTGCCTGATGAGTTGCCAAGGATGGATGGCCCTTATTTCGTCTCTATTTCTAGTTATATACTCAATGATTTACTCAATGATCAGTCTATACTGATGCCACATCCAAGTTTGCGTTGAAATTTTTTCGACTCGTCTTCGACATTTTAAGGCAGTATTTTATAAACTAAAATAACAAAATCCTGTGAACTTTTGAGTAGGCACAAAAACAGAATTACTGGAAACAATTATAGGGCTATCTATGATTATACCTTTATTTTAAAACTAAAAAAGGGCGTAGAAATTATATTTTAAGCTTTAGTTGTTCGATATTGCGCTTGAAGAGTAAAAAAGGGGTTTTGTCCAAAAATGGATATACGCGGTTTTCAAATTTAGCTATCGTTATGTAATATCACTAATAACGCACACGTACTAGGGAAGCCACGCACTAGGGAAACTGTATCGCGGGTGCCATGGAGACACACATAGACAACCACACATTACACCCAAACTCACGAGAGAAATAAAATGTAAGGCATACAAATATTTCTCCCGGCGCGGGAATGAACCCGGAACCCCTATGTGGTAGTCCAACATGGTAACCGTTCGACCACGGAGGCAATAAATTGTGCTATTTATGTTTTGAAGAATAAAATTGACAGTATTTTCTTTTTTTATTCGGTTCACAAAACGGGATACAATTCTAAAATTTTTAAAAGTATTTGAAGAAAGTATTTTTTTGAAAGTATTTGATTAACATTATGACACGAGAAGAATGTACCCTACTTGATGTGAACACAATAATCAAATTTCATTAACAAAAAGTGCATAAATGACAGTAATAAGAAATTTGCATCTAATACTATGAGGAGACTACTCTAATACTATGTGGAAAAATATATAGAAATATTATTATTACTCGAAAGCAGTATTGTATGAATATATTTGTATATATACCAGGGATGCCACATATGTGGCACAGGAGTAAAGAAACGGAATGTGGGTTATGACAACATCGGCAGATGCGAACGCGGACGCGAATTTTATTACCGTTCAAATCTGCAAACCACCCGCATCCCATCCGATCAAAAGTTGATGCTGTTATGTGGTATATAAATAAACCAATGTACAATATAAATACATAGATCATATTATTTGCTTCTGATATAATACTGCAATTTAAAGGCATTATGTGTATTTTCCAATGCACGTGCTTTTAAGCTCGCTCAAAGCAAATAACAATTATTTGGAAATCTCCTTTTGTTCTGCGAAGTGCCGATGTCGCCGGCGGCGGTTTATCTCTTCTCAGTAAAATCATGTCCATTAAAACATTTTTTCTAAAGAATTGTACACACCCACTTCCTTCCCACAATATTTTATTTATACAGGACGCAATTGAAAAGGAGCGGAAAAATATATCAATGTAAAAAAATTAAAATTAAAGGTTTACTGTAATTGATGTAGGCGTCTGCGAGAAAATTCAACTCTAAAATAGGCGTTGAAATGAAAATTTTTTGATTAATTTAAATTCAAAACAATTGTGTTCCAGCACTACGAATTTAAAACCTGTTTCGAAAACCCGCGTCAAATGTGCGAACTGGCAATAACGCATTGTTATCCGCCGTCCATGAATAGCCATCAAACGAGGCACACATCCTCGCATCGCGCGGTATTACTTTCGATCGACAGGCCGTCATCGGAAAAAAATTTAATCGGGTTTACTCTAATCGGGAATATGTGTATGGTGTGAGCTTACATCTTACTAGTGAAAATTTGACATTGGCTTTGTAATTTTACCGAGAATTGTACGTTAACGAGCGGCAGTGCAACGTTAGGAGCCTGTCAGCGGTTATTTGATTATGGTCAACATCACAGAACTGCGCTAAAGAGTACGGTAAGGTAAGGTCCCAAGCCTGGAAATGTACGACTAAAAATTGGTGACCTGTGCCTCTACCATGAGATTACAGTGACAGTTGTCGCTAGCGACCGCGTAAAATGTTTGTATACAAAATGTTGTTTCTTCTTGTGACTGCTAGGGGCGCTGTATAATTTGCCATACAAAATTGTGAAGTAATTTACGCGGTCGCTAGCGACAATTGTCACAGTAAACTCGTGGTAGAGGCACAGATGATTAACAGCCCGCGTTTGCGCCACACGACGTTGCTATTTCGAACAAAATTACCTTTCGCTGTAACTGATCAGAGCACCTACGGTGCTGGCATCCGCGACACACGGTTTCCCTAGTGGGGGGCTATGTTGAGTGTCTGCGTTATTATTGTTATTATTATTATTGTAGGATGCTAGTGCCCTGGAAAAAAAAACGCCAGGTACTTTGTAGTCGTTAACACTGCTAGTGCACTTGATATTGATTTACTCATTCCGTTACACCCTGTATTATACGAAACTATCGCCGCTGTCTTATCAAAGCTCCCGAGAGATAGTAGTGTCATTTATTAATTTAAAATATTTATCAATTACCAAGAACGGTTCTAAATAGAATATGTGATATTTTTATCTGACCACTGGAGGCGTTCTGCGGTATAATTAATATTTATGAAAAATACTGCGTATTATTTATTACTGGTTATTCGTTGTTAACGAAGTCATAATAATAACTATACTTACAAATGGTAGTGCGTGTGTTTGTTTATAAAACTAAACTAATAAAGGCTATATAATAATTATATATATATATATATATATATAAAATATATGTATAATGTATATTTATATATGTATGTGTATATACGTATATGTATATATAGAAAAAAAAATATTTGTAGCGACTGCTGCGATTTGCTACATCAACAAAGTAGTGCAGTAATTTCACAAAATATACTCGTGTGTATATTATATTTTGTGTGTATATTACGTCATTACTCCGGCATTTGGGAATCCAATTTGACGATTCTTTGTTTGTTGGAAAGATTGTGTCAGTATTGGTCCCATTTAAATTTGAACAAAATATTCGATAAACTAGGGGGTGGATAAGGTTTCGCGCACTTTCCGGTAACCGATTTCAATAAAACTTGGCAAACAGATGTAATAATATGAAAATATTTGTTGGTATTAGTACTAGGATAATTGAAGATACTGACGTAGTCCTCAAACGTTGAGTCATAGACTTGTTAGGTTTTATTGTTGCTTTAGGTTTTATTACAGTTACTGTGGTATTTGTAATGTTTTTATTATTATGTTATTTTCTGTCATTGTTTGTGGTTTATTTACTTTTGTAAGTCAAATTAAGCATATTTTATTTATTTTAGTTGCGTGCTAAATGCGCAGTTTGTGTTGCGTCAACAAACATATTAAGTGTCGTTTTCCAGAACTCTACTCAATGCTCAAATCAGGATTTGAGCAGACTTGAGTATGATTTCAAGCACTGGAAATACGACCCTAATGGCAAGGACTTGAGTATGATTTTCAGTGCTTACTGCAATACTCAAGTCCTGACTTGAGCATTGAGTAGAGTTCTGGAATACGACCCTTAGGTAGTTGTTAATTGTTAAAGGGGAAGGTGAAAGTAGGTTGTATGTAATTTATGTATGTAAGACTATTTTTTATTAAAAGGGGATGATGTAGTGAACTGAAAAGTAATCAGTATAAATACTTTGATGTTTAGGAACGCTGTCTCATCTCTACTTGGAACTCTGGACACAGCACTGTACAATATTGAATTTTTATTGAATTGATATTCAATAATTTTTTGTGAAATTACTACATTACTTTTGTTATAATTATTAATACAAAGATCGAGCATTTAGAAATAAATCCTGCAATCCGGCCGTATTCGCACCGACGTCTCCTAGCAAACCGTGTCAGACGCTATCCTAACAAAGCCACGGAACGAACCAGCGGATTTCACGAATTGTCCTATGTGCTTGTTGTCGGATGTCGAAGGAATTTTTGTATTAATGATTATAACAAAACCGTACAATACATTTATAATAATATTAAAAATAAGACATATTAAAAATAAACCACCAGAAGACCTTAAAAACAACTTTTATACCAATACACAATACTTTAAAACGAAAACCATTAAACATGAAATTATGTTTTTTATAGGCCCTATGCTGCGTAGACAAAAAAGGCATTCTATCATGGCCGAACCCTACAGCCGAGAAAGTGTTCTTCCTTCGCAACTCTAATCCGACATCACACAACTCTAGCAAGACCAGCCTTGTGGGGTCCATGGGTCAGAGTCAGACAACTTTGGAACAGCATGGAGATAAAACGGCTGAACCTTCCACTATTGCTGAGGTAACTACAGTGAGAGCACCTCTGATGATATTATACAGTACTAAGGGCGTAATCACACTAGATGCATTACGACTGCGCGCAGTACACTTTTTTTTATCATACCAAATGACAGGACAAACAAGTCGTACGCCTGATAGTAAACGACTCTCTCCAACTTTTCGTGATATATCCATGCAAATAGCCGACCGTCTCCAGCTACTTGGAATGGATCTGTAGTCCAATTTCAACTTCGGCAGATAAATACAATCCATGGCCAAAAATGCAGCCAGAAAGCTTGGCATCCTTTCCAAGGTGAGGCATTACTTAGAATAGAATAGAATAGACATTTATTGCAACGCCACATCACATAGATACAAAGAAAAATATTGATAACACAGACAAGAAAAACAAAATAAAGAGATTTAAGAAACAAAAAAAAAAGCAAATGAAAAAACTTCACACCGGGACAGTTGCTTTTGTTGTTACCAACCACAAATTCGGTCGTGTATTCAGTACTGCTGCCACTTGGATTCTATTGAAAATCGTGCCAAAAGGCTTATAGATCGTTTGGAGTTAGTCGAGACGAAGCTGCAGACCACTGGCGTAAAGTTACCTGCTTATCGGTATTCTACAGGATATATCACGGAGAGTGTGCGATGGAATTGCATGAGTTAATTCCGCCTTCCCCTTTCCATCATGGGGGGGACTTAGGATGGGGTTCCTCCCCTATGTTTTGGACATGCCCAGGATTAGTCACTTTCCATCAGGTGAGATGAAGGTCAAATGCGCACCTTTTTTGTGTGAAAAAAGACACGCCTGTCCATAACAGTGGCAGTGCCACTCAGAGCTTTAAATCACAAAGATCTGATGGATACTGCCACTGCGCCCATCGCCCTGAGACAAAGTTGACAAGTCCCATGCGCCCGTAATTTCACCAACACATTTACCCTTCGAAACCAAAACGAAGTAATTACTACTTGGCGACAGAAATAGGAAAAATGGCAGCCCTTTCCTGGACAAACTCTGTCACAAGGAACTCTACTACTTTAAAAGGTTGCATTGGCAGAAGGTAATTATGATGAAGAGTTGTTGATGTTGCTTTGGGTACATATATTATATTATTTATTATTATAATATATATGTTAGTTTATTATGTATGTATGATAAATGAATATGTTTATATTTTGTTATTTATTTATACCATACAAATTATCGATAAGCTTTCTAATATATTGTTATTCTTGTTTAAGTGTAGCACCAACCTATTGTGTTTTTTTTTCTATTTGTCTCAATGGTTGACTGGTAGAGAATGCCTTATGGCATTAAGTCCGCCATTTGTAATTCAGTGTATTGTACAATAAAGTTTAAATAAATAAGAGTTCCTGCAAAGAAGTAGAAATCCTGCTTGCTCATTATCTTAATTATTTCTGCTGTGAAGCTGTGCTATGAGAATTATTGTGTTCCGGTTTTTGAAAGGTAAGGGTACTGGTGAATCTACAGGTATGGAACTTGTTAACTTTGTGTCTCAGGGTTACGGGCGCTCAAATTTTAATGAGTTGAAGTTTTGTGAGGCACTTGAACTTGTCTGGGTATGTGGCTTACCACAAGGCTCGCGACTTGTTCGTCCTATCACTTGACTACATACAAAAAATCTGGTTGTGAAATTCCCTCCCTTAAAATATTCGATGGGCCCCGTCTCAAGAGAAGAACAGTAGAATCTAAATTCCTACAAAGGAACTTCCTTCCTCGAACTTCCTCAACTCCTATCTGACGTGTTTTTTCCTTTATTTCCTTGTACACAGTGATATTATTTTCCTGTATTTTGTTATTTTACAAAAGTTTATAAATACGTATTATTATTACCTACAGGTGTACATTTTTGTTACTATTCAATAGGTTGATTGTTTAAAATGCTACTAATTGATTTATAAATCATTGCGACCCCATTTACATCTCCTAATTTTCGATTCTTGTAATGCCTGGAAGACATTGCTAATTAGAAATAAGGCCGCCTATTGTACATTAGCTTTATTCCGGTACATATGAATGAATGAAATATTCTTTATTGAACATAAAACTACGTCGGCAATACAGAACGATAATTAAAATATAAAATAACAAGCCGTCTAACAATTCAACAAATCAATCTATCAAATCATTTTTAAACATTTAAAGCTCGACCATCTCCAATAGCGAGAATTTGCTATAATCGCCATAATTGTCATCATAGTACAGCTGAAATCTAATTTGCCAGAAGATGTTGCTGTTTAACCCGGTTATTAGTGCCAAATACAATTTATTCATAAGTTTTAATTTAATATTCTAGATATTAGACTTAACACACGATCAGAACGCGCCGTTTTGTGTGGAATTCGACGACCAGCGCTGGCGGCAACACTTAGCCAGACTGAAACCGCTTGGTCTGGCCGCCCTGTTGAATACCTGCGCACCCGCGCCCCGGCACACCTACGCTCATTTCTGCGCACATCTCACATGCGAAGCCTTGAACAGGTTAGTACCATACATTGACCTATCAACACAAATAACGTCAGTTCTAATACAAAAACTACGAAAACATATTCATTGTACCACAAAACAAATTACAAATTTTAACAATTAATTTAAAACGTTACTGTGCAAAGGCGAGCTTATCCCATAAAGGGATTTCTTCCAACTAGCCTTTAATAGTAATATTATAATTAATGTATTCGAACAATATGTATACACAGGGTGACAAGTTGAACGAATTAAATATTTAAAGAGGCGAATGTGTTGTGAAGCGATATTTATTCATACAAGAAATAAATTATCGTTGTATATATTTCCTTGCAAATGTGATGGAAAACATTGTATGCAGCACGGACGGTAAAAGTTACAAATCTCAACTCATTAAAGCCCTCAGCCTTCGGCTTCGGTTTAACGAACTCTCGTTTGTAATTTCGTATTTACCTCTCACAAACTACACAATGTAATGTAACGGAGTTATTGTTAAATTTCAGCGAGGATCTGGTCCCTGTGACGAACCGGCGCTGCCTGTGCGAGTTAGCCAAGCAGATCGGCTTCACCGACAATGTAGTCGACTCCTACACCATCGAAGAGTGTTTGGCTGTGTTTCGACATTTAGTAAGTGTTAAACATTTTCCTTGAATGTTAAATCAAATGACTGTTTAGTAAATAACTCATTCCTGTAGGTTTTCCTATGAAATGTAGCCTTTAACTTATTTGTGAATAGACTGTCTGGGAAACCCAAGGGCCGGCAGCTACCCTCCACAAAGCATTAGAATAGCTATACAAAGGGGAATGCGAAATAGTGAAATTACAGGCACATGGGACTTCTCAACTTACGTGTCGGGGTGATTGGCGCTAGAAATTTGGATTGAAAGAAAGTTGGCGCTAGAAAGAGTTCGTTCAGGGAAGTACTGCCACCTTACCTGTTTCTGCCGCCAAGCAGTGTTCCGTTTTGAAGTGTAAGAATACTGGAGAAATTACAGGCACATGGGACTTGTCAACTTGTCTCTGGGTGACGTGCGCACTGGCAGTGCCCCTCAGATCTTTGCGATTTAAAGCTCTGAGCGGCACTGCAACTGTTATGGACAGGCGTATAGCTTACCATCAGACGCACGACTTGTTCGTCCCGTCACTGGACATTATGAAAAAAAAATGCTGTCACCATCTTGGGCATTGCCGCGGGGTCCCAATTTTATTCATATAATTTAGTTCTAGTTTTAGTTTCCAGCATTTACGCTTTTATTGTACCTTACCTGTATATTTTAACTTATTGTCTATTAAATGAACTAGTACTTAGTGGTAGTTTTTTAATGGAAACCTTTTTACAATGGAGCATTTGCGTCGTATAATCTAAATCGACTTACCTTTTGCAAGTGACCATTCTTTGTTTAGATACGCACTAATGAAATGGGTCGTTTCCGCGAGTAAGAAGATCGTGTGTATATAGCCTAAGCCAATATTAAATCGCGAAATATAACTTGCAGCAAGCCGATACCATCCGTCGAGAGACGCGTTTTGCTCGTTCCCTCCATATGAGCACTCGCGTCAAAGTCCCGCTGCCGCACATGCTCGCCGTGCTCGTCAAGGATCAGGCCAACCAACTGCAGATGCTTACACAGGTACCTAGTATACAGTACGAAAATTCTTTATTATATACCGAAATGGAAACAAATACAATACAATGTAAAGGTATACCTGACTGAGTGAAGAAATCGATTTCTCACAGATGGCGCTACGACAAAAAAGTTGTTTAAAACCGAAAACGTAGATCAGCAACAAGCACACAGAAAAGTTCGTAAGGTCCGCTAGTTCGTTCACTGGCTTATTATATATGGCTTATTATTATAGCTTATTATAATTGTCGAACTGCACCGAACAGACAAAAATTCGTGAAGTCCGCTGGTTCGTTCTGTGGCTTAGTTGACATAACGTCTGCCACGGTTTGCTAGGAGACGTCGGTTCGAATCTTTGTATTAATAATTATAACACACTAGTAGAGTAATTTCGCAAAAATATTTGAATATCACGTTGGTTAAACATTTCTAGTTAGGCATAGCTTAGTTAATCTTAGTTGGTATAGGGTCTGGCGCGGGTTGCTGGAAGACGTTGGTTCGAATCCAGCCGGATCGAAGGATTTTTTTCTAAGTGTTCGATTTTTCTATTAATAATTAAAATACAATACAATTAAATAAATAAGCTGTGGTGCAGTGGACGGTCTTATCGCTTTAAACGATTTCTGTCAGAAAACCTTTGAATGGAATATACCTCATGCCCTAGCCGACCTTTTGGTTCTGAGATAAGATAAGGTATTTGGTTCTTTTTACGCATTCAACAGAAAAGGAAAAACTCCAGCTTTCTGGTTGATATTACACCCGTCCGTTACAGTGGGTAATAAGCAAAGCATCACACAAATAGTCGGCTAGAGGGTCAGGTACACAGACCGAGTCAGATATCTTAGATCATACATACAATCATATCAATAGATTTTCTGTTTATAGTATCAAGTAACACAGGCTATCCTAGTACAGGTCCCGCTCTCTCACAATGGCCTAAACATTGTACGTAAATTCATATAGATCTATCGACATTAAGAACAGTGCCTTTGTGATTGGAAATAAATGATTAATATTACAGGGTACAGCTGACATAATCCTGGACTCGTGCGTGGACTACTGGAACGGGCGCGATCTGACGCCGATATCGCCTTCCGATCGCAAGAAAATCATCGACTTCTACCAGCGCAACTCGTTAACAGCCTACTGCACCGCCTTTGCTTACAAGTAAGTCTGTATCTTTACCACAGTTTAATAGAGTTTATAATAGCTAGCGACCATGAGAGATTCTCTTCTTGGTGTGATATCAGTGCTGGCGTTCCACAGGGCGGCGTTTTTTCTCCTCTTCTGTTATCGATCTTTATTAATTCAATTTCCCGCAGTCTTACCTCATCCTACCACCTGTATGCAGATGATTTACAAATTTACACTCACCGGCAACTTGAAAACCTGCAAGCCTTTGAGGAAATCAATAATGATCTCAGTCATATTTCGACGTTGAGTAAACAATATGGTCTTAAACTAAACGCAACGAAAACGCAATGGTTATTATTGGCAGCTCTAGAATGGTATCCAAGATTGGTTTCGCTTGCAGCAGGTTATTATAGACGACACGTACATTAGAATTAGTGACAATGTAAAAAATCTGGTATACTCATTGATAGGCAGCTATCTTGGGCACCTGAATTAGTTGAGACCAGTCGCAAATTGTTTGCGTCTGGAATTTCTTGCCTATTGCCACGAAAATTGCGCTTGCCCAAACTCTTCTTCTTCCAATCCTAGATTATGCTGATGCCTGCTATTTGGATTTAACCGAAGAACAGCTCAACAAGCTCGAACGTCTACAAAATTTTTGCATCATGTTCATGTTTCATTTATGGTCTGAGGAAATTTGATCATGTTTCCATTTACCGCAAGGAGCTGAAGTGGTTACCCATTAGACTTCGCCGAAATGCAGAATATGTGCATAATCTCCTTTATGGCATCTTATTCATTCCTCACACACCACCTTATCTTAAGGAGCGATTTGAATTCACCCATCAATCCAACCTCCGACTTCCGCGCTCATCTTCAACTCTTCAACTTAAGATGCCATTGCATACCTCCCAGTATTACGACAAGTCCTTTACTGTTCAGGCTGTTCTTTGTGTAACGCTTTATCTTAGTTTGTTCAACAAGCGAAATCATTAAACATATTAAAAAATATGGTAAAAGAACACTACCTAACTTTAGTGTGACTTGAACTGCTTAGCCCCCGTAAAAAAAAAGGTATTTTTATGTTTTGAAATTATGTTTTAGAAATTTTATATTTATAGGTGTAAGAATATATAGTAGTTTACGATATTCATATATATGTATTGGTTTTATTATTTATAAATATATGGCGCTTTCGCCCTATTAACAAAACACCGACGATATCATTGTATTATTTTGTTACAGCCTTTCTTTTCCTCTTCTAATAAATTTATGTGGAGCGAGCCTTCACTTTTACCGTAACTAAGGTTAGGGTACACACTGATATAACAGCATGAGTATTTACTTCCAAATTGATAATTTCAGGCCATTGACCCGTGGTATATCATCGACGCTTGCGCAGTTGTACCTGGAACTGCCACCGGACTCGCGCCAGCTGTACGCGCCGCTCTCGCAGCAGTGGGCCGATGCGCCTGCGCTTCACTTTCACTCTACTGGTACTCCACTCAACTTAAAATTGGAACATTCGTAATTTGAATAAGCTAAATCAAACATAAAATGAAACATACAACTCGCCCAAAAATTTTAATAATGAAATATCACATACATATACGTATACTTGGAGTCCTGTGAGTCCTGTCAGGGTAGGCAGAGCCTGCAATAAGGTCGTGCGGTACCTGTTTAACTTCACTTACATTCATCAATCTTTTCATACAAACTCTCTTATTGTAATGAAACATACAAATCGACCGACATTTTTAATAATAATAATAGTAATAATAACTTGCACACACTCATAACACACACACACTCATGACACATACATATACAACCACAAATTATCCCCAAACTCACGAGATAAATAAATGTAGGCCATGCTAATATTTCTCCCGGCCTGGGAATCGAAGCCCGGACCTCTGCGTGGCAGTCCGGCATGGTAACCGTTCGGCCACGGAGGCAATTCAATGATGAAAAATTTCCATGATTATGAATGCAAAGTTCGAAGACAGAAAAATTTCGTCGAACAGGTGGGACCTGAACGAACGTCCATGCTGCACCGTAGCATTGTTCTAACCATCTGAGCTACGGGTTCAAATACCGAGTCCTCAAAATTGTCCTAGACTTTAGAATGACATTCTCACCGCAGCCGATACCTTTACAGGTATCACAAATGACGCAGATGTCGCTTTTCGATCTAATGTACTTATTGAGGTTTTTTGTGAAATTACTCCATTGTGTGTTCGATCTTTGTATTCATAATCATAACAAAACTATTGGGGTTACTTCACAAAAAAATCTCAGAAAATAAAAAAAATACATATTTATAATACAATGATTTTAACTTTAGATTCCCTGTTATTCAACGAGGTCACAGACGATGACGTGGCCGATGTCGAGGGATACTTCGATATGCAGTGTAATCAGGTGATTAATAACCAGTGATCGGAATTGAATGAGTTAATTTAGCTAAAATAAAGAATAATGTGGACATTCCCTTCTACAAATCCCGGAACTGATTATATTTTTGAATATGCGTATTATTTATTGAAAGAGTACATTGGCGACAAATTATTATTTCCTATTATCTGCTAAAATCACTGTCTCAAAAAATAATATTGTAGTAGTGTTTTTATTTGCGTATTTAAATACTTAAGCCATTTAAAAAATGAACATGAGATAACCGATATCTTGAAATGTATAGAAAATAAACAGTAAAAAAATTTTATACGCTTGATGACGAAATGGGTATGTCCATACTAAGAAAACGTTCAAACTTTGAGTAAATGAACTCCCTGAATCCGATCACTGTTAACACAATCCTATTAATAAAAATAATAATTTTTCATCCGCCGCCATCTTAGCATGCAATAAGGCTCACACTACTTCTATCACCGCCCATTAAGGTGTGATAAAGAGTTTCACAAATAATAATGTGGGAGACACCTACACCAATTATCTGACCTCAAACTAGGGAATACCCTGCACTATGAGTGCCAGAGCAACGGAATTCACTCTAGGGCACTACCTGGAACACCCAGAGCAGAATCAATTTATGAAAAGTTAATTTCCCAAAATAGCCCTAACGAGAACCTAACATGCGACCTCAACAGCCCTGAGCCTGAGCCCACGATGCAAACCATTGAGTCACCGAAGACTACTATGAGAAATAATTTAAAACACGCACAATACAACCCTTAGCGCTTGATCCGGCAAACTAGGTGTGTTTGCAGGATGCGACCCCTCACTGCGCGTTCCCCCCAGAGTACGCCGTTGCTATCGCGCAAGTATACTCGTTGCGCAACTGTATGGTTTGTAAAATTGTGAACTCGGGTCTATCTAGAGCCCATAGTGCTAATAACAATATAATAATAATAAATAATAATAATATCTAAGGTACTTAATGATTTCTTCACAGAAAAGTTCTTAACACTTTAATCGCAAATTAATATTTAATTTTAAAAATGTGTCAGGTGTTTATCGGCATGGTAACAATGCAGTACCAGGCGCAGAGCGACATGGTGGAGTTGATCGAGCGATTGGAACGCGCCTGCATACGCTTTGTGCACTTTAGCAAGGTACAAATTCAATTTAAAAAATACTGTTGACATTATACATATAAAACACCTTTAAAGGTGTTAAATTGGCCATCCTGTAATATCCTGACCATCATGTAACATCATAACGTGGCTTGCTCTGTATGGCTCGCTAACTGACGAACAGACAGATGCAGACCGACAGAGACGGAGTATTCGTGTTCTTTTATCTTCTGGTTATATCATTTGTGGTGAACGGCTTAACCAGACTGGTCTAACAAAGAATGCCTTTATCTGGACTCTATTTTTGCCAGTCTGGTCTAATGAGGAAAGCCCCTATCTGGATTCTATGGTAACCAGACCCATGTAATAAAGTAGGCCTCTATCTGGATCATGTCTTGACCAAACTGGTCTATTAAAGAAAGCATGGTCCCTATTTTGACCAGACTAGTCTAATAAAGAAAGCCTCTTTCTGATTCATATCTTGACAGACTGGTCTAATAAAGAAAGCGTTTACCTGGTGTCCCTATCTTGACCAGACTGATCCAATAAATAAAGTCACTCTTTGGACCCTATCTTATCCAGACTGGCACAATTTGGACCCTATCCAAGCTACCAAAGACCAGTCTCGTACGTTTACAATTTTCGTTTAGGAACATTGTAAAGTGACAGGAGAGAGGCTTAAAAATTTTACGAACGAAATTAGTCGATAACTTTTAACCGACTTCAAAAAAATGAGGAGATTCTCCATTCGACTTTTTTTGTACGCGATAACTTCTGAACCGAGTTTGATGATTATTTTTTTGTTGGAAAGAGGGGAACCTTGAAAGTGGTTCCATTTAAATTTGAAGAAAATATTCCACCTCTAAGGGTGGCAAACTAGGGGATGAATGACTTTTGAAGTTAGGTTTTTTAGTACTCTTACTGAGATTATTTATGCTTAAATAGGAGAGTTATAAATTTGACATATACATAATTTGTTTCATGTAGTTCGTATTATTTTTACGATCTTCATGTGATAAAAGCACTTTTGACCTATGATCACATGTGGCTGTACTATACCAAGTATACGAAGTATAATTGTCATATTACAGGAAAACGAGCTTCGCTCGAGAGTGTTTAGTGAGAAAATGGGGCTTGAATCCGGCTGGAATTGCCATATTTCACTCATGAGCGAAGACCCTAATAGGTAAGTCCTGAATTTTATTAAATAAGGAGGATCTTCGGGATGAAGGGGCACATAGACCAGTATCCCATAAAAAAGCCAGGTATCGAGTTACCGAAAATGTAAAAAAAATCTAAATTGCAATTTTATTCCATGAAATCCCAAATCATTAGCTCGATAATGTCACACTTTTGAATATAGTCCATTAGCGTGGAGAATGTAGTAGGCAATTGTCGTATTACTGTGATGTGTCACTTTGAATTTATTACTGCATTATCCGTAATATTAATGTGATTGGTGGGTTTCAATTGTTTATTGCATGTCACGTGATATTAAACCTCAGTGATTGGTCATTCAATGTGTTACTGCGTTTGACGTCATATTACAGCTTTGTGGTTGGTCAACTTTAACTTCTTAATGCATTTCACGTGACATTCAAAACGTCTGATTAGTTGTGATATTGAAGCTTTGCGATTGGTCGATGTGATATTTTTCATTACATTTCATTTCACCCGGTACTAAAGCCATGGGATTGGTCGTTTTGAAATGTTACTCGATTTGACGTGGCCTTTGAATTTCCTACTGCATTTCCTACGCGAATATAACAAAATTATTCACACATAACAAGAAATTAACGAACATTTAGGCTTTTGTGAGCAATTAATAAATTCGTACATCATAATTATTGCATTACTGACTATCCATTGATAATTTGTGTTTATGGACAGTGCATACAATACTTACAATACAACATTCATGCTTGTGTTACGGCAAAAGCAACAGTGCCTGCACTGCTGTGTTCTAGACTGTAAGAGTGACAATAAAATACAGACGGCGGTAATCACTTGCGTCCTTATGCCTTGTTTATTATTATAAAATATATCTATATATAAAAAGTAAAAATAAACAAAATGACAATTGAAATCTTCTGTTTTTTATATGTAATATTCATCAAAGCAAATTCCCAAGAGAGTAGGTTCAGTATATTACAACACACAACATTACTTCTTGCTATTATTTATTTTTTTAAATTTCAGTCGAATCTTCTTTAGTCGTAACTATATCGATGTACCGTCGAAATGGCGAATAAATTTGTTGTGAGTAGTCGATTTTTTATCGATGTGTAGAGAATCGATGTTGTGGACGTACTGGACAATTCCATTTTTTTTAAATTAAACATTGGAACATAGATAAAAATTTTAATTAAAAGAGAATTTTTAAATTATATAATTATGACGGATTTAAGTTTTTACATAAGTTAAAAATGCTCTTTTTCAAGAAAATATTAGAATATTTAACAAAACTTGAAAAACAATAACCTGAAAGAAGTCATTTACTTTTCGTAATAATATATGGAATTGTACTGTATAAATTTAATTTTGTATGTAATGGTTATTTAATCTATTTTTTTGGTTATCCTGCAATCGTGTTGCACTGCTCTCTCTATCTCGGATTTCCAATGCTCCCTACCCGCAGCAATCTCCAGTAATTAATTAATATTTTTTTATTTTTAGTTTATATTTCCCTCAATCTTTCGTCGTACCAAAAGCGATTTTCCTGATTTTTATATTTGTCTGCATTATTCAGATAAGTATCTGGAACGGGTCCGTTGGTTATGCCCCGGTTTCTATTGCCCTGTTCTGTTCGCACCCAATTCGGTTTAGTTAGACAAACGTAAATCAAAGCAATTTTTAATTAAATGTACTGGTAGACACAAAAATGCTTTTACTAAAGTTTTTGTATGTACCTTTGTAATATTGTTAGCCTCTTTGAAAATAATTTGAAGTAACATGAACTTATTGTAAAAAAAAAGGTTTGATGAAATAAGTGCGCACGTACAAAAGTGTTATAAATAACCGGTTGTAGTTCAGGTAAAAGTTGTACAACTACTACACAATACAAAGTGCAGACTAACCTTCGTTGAGACCGTGCAGTGTTCATTTTGGCAACTAACAAATATTTACTTTGCCTATTCTTTTATCGTTTAACCAATACGAACTTTTTGAAACCCAATAATTAAGATAATTGCATCTTACATATATAAATTAATAATTTCTTAAACATTCTAGTTCTCAACAGCACTTAATGCAAATAAACTCATATCTGACAAAAAATATTGATATAGAATTTATTTGAATCGGGTGCAAACAAAACTAATGCAAAAGAAACCAGAGGCATTACGATCGTATCCTCTGGAACGACCTCTACCGGAAGTTATCATAGAGGAAATTCGTAGATACTTTCTAAGGTTTGATTGTATGGACGAAAAGTAACTAGTGGCAAAATGGTAACAGTGGTGGTATGTGACAGCAAAATTAACGTAAGGGGCAATACATCTTCGTTCTTAATTACTTTTTCCAAAATTAATAATGTTCCAACCAACCTCACTTATTACGTGGTCTCCAATTGGGCAATTCCCTGTTCTACGAGTACTACGAGTACCACAGCAACGCAATTCACTTCCAAGTACTATTCAGAACTTGGTAAATCTTTATTTAGTCAATTAAGTACATGTTATAAGTAAGTGTGCACAGTGCACAGGCCGCCAACAAACTGCACAGCAGTTTTACGACTTTTAATAGTTAAGTTTCTTTTGTACTTATTTGAATTATAACAGTAAAAAATAACACCTAAACCAGAACCAAATGTAGACAAAAGTTACCTAACGTGTAAAAGCTGAATAACGGAGTTAGTATTTTGAAAAATATTTAAAAAAATACATCCATAATGCAGATGTAAAAGAAGGCCTATGCGTGTATATAGAAATCTCTACAATAGAAACTCATAAGCCGGGACAGATAAGAAATTTAAAAAAAATCTACAATTGTGCTACGCATTATAGATGTCAGAGCAACCAAATTCGGAGGGCACTGCTCCAGAATATCCAGACAACAACAGTATTGAAAAGTAGTGTTAGGTGTAGTGCTGAAGCGTGTTGTGGCTGTCGGCAGCACGCGCGCGTCGCCTCTTCGCGCCGCGCCGCCCGCGCCCCGCGAACGTGCCAACACCACATCCAAGATCGCTAGACGCGACGACTCCCTCGCCTTTTATTATAGGTTTGTTTCTTGTATTGACCTGTTTTGCCCATTGTACCCCTAGATTTTACCATTGTATTGTACCACCGCACACTCCATTGAAATAAATGAGGCTGTCAGCGCAAAAGTGGTGAAAGTCCCGCATGCAATGCATGTAGAAGATGAGGGATTGAGAATGAAGGATTTAAAATTATTTAAACTGGGAAATTAATGAGATATGTATTAGATATTAAAATAATTATTAAAGTGTTTAGGAAAGTGTAATACGTATTCTGTGGATGTATGTACCTTATTAAATAAAATGAAACTAATATAATCTCAGTAAAAGTTAAAAGTTCGTCAAATTACATCTATTACCGGAATTTCATGGAAATCGATCACCAGAAAGTACGCAAAACTGGATTCATCCCCTAGTTTGCCACCCTTAGAGGTGGAATATTTTCTTGAAATTTAAACGGTACTAATACTGAGGTAACCTCTTTCCGACAATAAAAAATCATCAAAATCGGTTCAGAAATGCCGTTCAGAGTTATCGCGTAATATACGTATAAAAAATACAGTCTAATTGAGAACCTTCTCCTTTTTTTGAAATCGGTTGAAAATTTGCCAAATTCATTTTCAGTCCTTTTTGAAGATAGAGAAAAACGATAGTTCATTGCGTAATAGTGTTGCTTGCAGTCGCTATAGAATATTTATTCTATCGACTATCGACTGAATGCTGGTCGCGCTTACGCAATAAATAACTGAACTTGTTTCATTTGAATCATCATCGGCCTATAACTCGTCATCGTAATTGAATTATCATTTTTTTTAAATTTATACATACATGCACTGCAACTATAACTTACAACTATATCTGTTAAAAATACAAAAAGGAGACATAATATTATATTTTAAAGTTTTGCTATGGATAATCAAATCCGCCTATTCTTATTAAAATGAATAAAAATCTATTTCAATACTAGTTGGCAAACTGTTAAAATAAGAATAAAGAAGGCAATAACGTAATTAGTAATCATTAGAATGTCGTAACATTTACAACTCAGACATTTTTGCAAAGTTTTACCTTCTTTCACAATCTATCGATAAAACAGTCGACAACACTTACTACACTACTTAACATGGTATGAAAACTGGCAACCCTGCAAATGACATTTTACTCCGTCTTCAAAAAAGTTTATAGCTATATTATAAGACCAAATATATAATGATTAAATTTTTATTATACATGAAAATAGCACCCAAATACATAAAAATTTATAAAAAAAGCCCAAAGTCACTCAACGAGCTATGGAGCGAGCAATGCTCGGCATTTCTCAACGTGATCGAATCAGAAATGAGGAGATCCGTAGAAGAACGAAAGACACCGACATAGCTCAAAGGATTAGCAAGTTGAAGTGGCAGTGGGCAAGGCACATAGCTCGCAGAACTGAGGGCCGTTGGGGCAGAAAGGTTCTTGAATGGAGACCACGAACTGGAAGGCGTTCAGTGGGACGGCCCCCTAAATGGACAGGTGACCTAGTAAGAGCGGGTATAACTGATGGGTGCACGTCGCTTCCGATCGGCTAGTTTGGAAATCTTTGGAGGAGGCCTATGTTCAGCAGTTTACGTCTTTCGGCTGATATGATGCTGATGATGATGACATAATAATTATGTATTTTAGTGTCATTTAAAGTAATATTGTAGAAAAAAATATGGGTTACTCCACTTTTGCATTGATAGCCTTGAATAAGAGAAAGCATCTTTTCGAGTATAGGTCCTCCACACTCCCAATCTGCTGGCCTACTGTGGGGTATCAATTATAAATGACTGCAAAATTGTAATTTGATTGCACATGTTTGATGTTTGATACTTTGACGACGATACCTTACATTGCGCCCTCTAGTGAGTGTAATGTTATGATTATTTTTAGTGTACACCCAATGGTAGCAATCTAGGCGTGTAACAGGAAAGACGCCGACCACAATTTCATGGAAAACGGTTGAGTCTTTATAGATAACATCATGAATTATTTTTCAATGACATTCTGGTCGAATTGTGTAAGTATTCGTGTATTTGAGAATTAATAGCTGTTTATTAATTGTAATGTATGGAGTCTCAATAAAGCTTGTTAATTCTCAGTACACAACAATACCCGTACATCTCTGTTTTGTTTTACATAAATTTATTTAGATGATACGTTATATCCTTTGTAGACTTAACAGTAGAAAATGCATGATTAGATTGAACATGCGTAAAACATGTGTGCACCACTTTTTATTGTTCTTTTGCGCGTTTTGTTGTACTATTTTTAAGCAGCCTGTATTGCACAAGATGGTATAAAATAGTGTAGTAAAAAACGATGAAATAAACTTTCTCTCCCTCTTACTCTCATTTGCTGCTGAGGTCGAGAAAGTTGACTCGCGTAATATATAGAATCATCTCCATAAAACGAAAAAATGCGTATTACGCCTCGCCCACGAAAATGTCGCCACGCTTGTAGCGTCAATTCGCCGAATACGTCAAAATACAGGCACGAAGTTTGGTAATTCGCTTACAGCATCTTCGGTGGTGGGGGGAAGTCAAGTAGAATTCTTTTTACGAATTTAATAGTTACTTGGTACTTGGTGTAACGGGCTGGTGTCCGCAACTCGACGTCAAGGCGCCTATTTTGCGCCTATTTAATAGTTAATGTTGATGAACCAAAAATAAAAACAAAATATTTTATCCCAACGCTGACGCGCGGAGCGACACTTTCGTGCACACTATGGAACTTTCTCGTATAATTGTTCTGGTCGCCCGCAAAAAAGGCGCGTAACGCTCGTCCAAATTCGCTTATAACGAATTTCGCTGCAAGTTGCAACGCTACTTTGTGGTATTTTATAAATAAAATAATTTATTTGTAATAGACGCTGACGCTTGTAGCAATAAGCGAATTCGCTAGTAGCGTCGCGACTCGTGGCCCTCGCGTTAGGGCGTCTTTTGTTTCAAACGTGTGCCAAATGATCTCAACGTTATCGGGATTCAGTGGAACTGTCTGGCGAATAAAAAAGAGCCCCCGTACACTGTACTTTCACTACATTGCACGTGTCAACTTTAACTGGTTAATACAATAAACATTAGCATTAGCACATTGGCCAAGATTGACATAAGAGACGACCCTCAGGTTAATATGAAACTGGAGTAGAGTAAGTAAACCTATGTAAGAATCTTTGTATGTGGCTTTTCTAAAAATAATACAAAATTTTTTTTCGCAACTAATATCTCATTTATTTCGACGCTTATCTAATATTCTGCTTGTTCTAACAGCGACCAACAAGCATTCAACACACTTATTTCTTCACATCTTCATACATATGGGAATACAATGTAGGAATATATAAAATAGCTTAAAAATTAATATACCATTGCAATACTTTCAAATTATTGTAAATACAATGCGTAGCCCTTCTGTTAAACATTTCTGCTATAAATTTAGTTATTTATAGCATAGTATAATAAAACAAGTACGGTTACTCCATACAAATGTGGCAGCGTTGCTTGTATGTGTGCGCGTCAGCCGCGTGCCATAAACGGACACATTCGCATAATCCCGCGATGCATTCGCGTTGCAAAGCGCTGATCGTCTCACGCGCTTTTCATTCTATATAACATTAAACGGTCATTCTCGGACTAGTGCCTATAACTGCCTCTGTGGCCGAACGGTTACCATGCCTAACTGCCACGCAAAGGTCCCAGGTTCGATTCCCGGGTCGGGAGAAATATTTGTATGGCCTACATTTATTTCTCTCGTGAGTTTGGGTGTAATTTATGGTTGCCTTTGTATGTGTCCATGGCACCCGCGACACAGGGTTTCCTTAGTGCGGGGCTATGTTGAATGTGTGCGTTATTATTATTTTTATTGTTAGTGTTCACTTCCTAATTTCGGTGGCAATTTTTATTATTAAAATATAATAAAAATATTAATAAATAAATATATTCTCGTGTAACTATTAAAAAATATTTCACAATACTGAATATTATATAATATTGCACGATAAAAAATCAAATACTTAAATAATAAAAATTGCCAAGGAAATTAGTGGTCACTACACCGAGAATGTAAACACTTTTTTTAGATTCCCGGGCCGGCGACTCAGGGTTTCCCTAGTACGGGGCTATGAGTGTGTGCGTTATTTATTTATTATTTATCATGCGAATATCTTCGTCCGTACATAGCGCGCGGCAAGCATGCACACATACAAGCTACGCTGATGCTTTTGTATGGAGTTACCATACTTGTTTTATTATATTATGCTTAAAACTAGCTATAGCTTACCAAGATATTAGGAATGTGGATTCAATGAATATTTTACTAAAATCAAGTCAATGCCAGTGAAAGTAAGGTTGTTGCGTGGGCAGCAACTTACCAGGACTTCTAGAGAGATGAAACTCAACCTTTTAGTGGAAAACGAGACTAAAAGTTCGTATAACACGGTAGTCTCAATACATTGATATTGTGTTGTAAGACCCTTTACACATTACTCGTTCACGACTACGTCCCTACACTAACCTAAGTTACACTAAACTTACCTAAGTTAAGAATAAAAGTCACAATTTTGTTCTACTACTATACTTCGTTTAGGATTAGAAAAAATATATACATAAGAAACAGTGATTATAAACTTTTTTTCAGTCAACAAATTACAGTAAAGGAAAACGTCGTCAGGATTAATGACATGACACAATAATATTTTATGTTATTATTTTATAATAAGTTTCCGTTTATTGTTTGGAAGCTCTGCTTCTTTAATTTTTTTGTACTGCGTCTTTTAAGTAAATTAAGTATGTAGAATTACTGAACCGCCTAATCGTTCTTACAAAACCTTGTGTGAAAAGGGCCTTACACCACTGAGTTAATGTAAATTTCTCTTAAATTGAATCTATATACTTAATGTCCCGGTTATAGCTTATAATTATAATTTTACCTATTATATCCTTCATTAGAATTATGTGTCATTATTAGTTCGAATATGACGACCTCGAAAGCCCTGTCGATGTCAGCGCCAGGCGCCATCAATTTGGATCACACCACAGTGAAGTTCGACAATGAAATCAAGAAGGCAAGACATTCCATCACCACACATACCGGACTGAAGGTAAGTTTGTGTAGACCCTGCGTGTTAGTAATTATATAAATAAAAAATTAAGTACATTACTTTATCATTACTTACTTAGCTGATTTACATCGAGTTCTTATGCTTTCGCTATTGTTACACATAGGAAATGAAACTCTTTTTCCGGATTTAAATCGCGTATATTATTTTTTTAAAACAAACCTACGTTTCGGGCCCTTTACAGGTCCCATGGTCACGGTTGACTGAGGTGGTACAATCATCAACCAGTTATATCTAACATTAAGGCAAACCACCCTATCTCTTCACTATAGTTACAAAAGTTATTAATTGAAAACCTTATTTTTATATCGAATTCTTAGGTTTTCGCGATTGTTACACATAGGAAATGAAACTATTTTTCCGGATTTATTATTATTTAAATTCAGAAAAATAGTTTCATTTCCTAACCATATTATTAATTTTACAAAGAAACATTTCAATTTACGCTACATTACGTTTTACAAATGATTTTATTGAATGAATTTTCATTAAGTTAAATATATTATTAATTAATAATAGAAATTAGAATAAAATAAAACATATTAATTAGTACTGCAGTCTTATGTCTGTTTGGGATTTTTCAGCTGAGGAAATACTGGATCCCAATCTGGTGCTATGGCCATAAAGCCATCTTCCCTGTTGAAATTAGGATGTTTTTTAATTTCAATGGCCTCTCGCAGCATCCTGGGTAGATAACGGACTTCTTTTGCAAGGCCCTGGGGTTTGTCAAACTTCATTGAATGTGTAGGCTCATCCATGACATGCTCGCAGACTGCAGACTTGTTTACGCGATGGTGTTTGACATCAGCTATATGTTGTTTGACGCGGGTACAAACACTTCGCTTCGTTTGTCCAATATAAGAGAGACCGCACTCACAGTCAAGCTTGTAGCTTATTTATGCAGGTGTTCCGATTTTACGTCGCCATCTCAGCGAAGCGTATTTATTGTTTGTTTAAGTCTATGGTTCGACAAAATATCTTTTTAAAAGTTATTTAAATGTAATGTAAAAGTTTTTTCCGATTTTAAGTAATTTATTTTTGTAAAAATATTTGTGTCGAAGTTGTTGGCGATTATTTGGGTCATTTTCATGTTACTGTTCTCTACCTAATTTCGGTGGTGGCGGCGTTTATTATTATTATTTAAGTATTCTAGAATGTTATCATGAAGTATTATTTAATATTTAACAATAATATCCCGAAATAATATTTAATCTTTCAGGATAATATACTGAAATACTTATATTATTAAGTAATAAAAATGGCCACCGAAATTAGATAGAGAACATGAACCTGAAAATGTCCCATTTATATCGGTCAAATTATCCAATTAGGTAGCTCCAACTTTAATAAATCTGGACCACACATGGAAATTTGTATTCAGATGTATACGGAAATGCAAAAATTGCCGAGAAATTTAAGAAAATAGTTATACTGTACCTTGTCTATGTTACAGATGCAGCGCAGCAGCATAGCAACGACGCACCCTTCGGCAGACTCTTTGCTTGACGAGGAGGGTCCAGACTCACCGGTGGACGCGTGCCGCTCCCTCTCTTGCCTCACCGACTCCACGGACCACTCTGCACCCGTCAACTTCGATATGAGCAACCGGGTAAGAAACTTCTTATGCACAAAATCACGAAATTACAACAAATCTTGTTAAAAGTGTTGTCTTGTCAGTCAAGTCCTTACAACAAAATTGACGGAATCTGAAACGTCACTACTAACTTGTCATAGTCGATTTCAATTCAACCTACCTCGGTGACCCGAGGATAACACCGTGGATGCTAGATGAAGAAATTCATCGTTCGATTCCCGGTAAAATCAGTTGTTTACATGATTGTTCTGAGTAGAGTTCCTGGAGTTAATTTCGTTGATCTGATACTCACACTCTGAAAGCACCTTAAATACCGTAGATAGAAAATGTTACTGAAAGAAGACTATTTTCATTTTAAAAACGCTTCGAACTGTATTCAAAGAGTTTTAAATAATCGCTTGTCTGAACCGGGAATCGAACCCGCCAAATGTGAAAAAAAACGCCGGTAATTTTACTATACTAATCGAAAGCCTCAATCATAAGTATTGTTTTCTAGTATCTTAAATAAAAGGAAGACCATGAAGTTGGAGTCGAATCGTGACTCGCACCTTCGGAATTTACGTGCGAAATTTAATTTTAAATTTACCATGAGCTTTTCGTCCTGTATGTCAAAAATGGTTCACAACTCTCAGAAAACATGCGAAATCTCCAACCCGCATTAAGCCAGCGTGGCGGATTATATATGAACGTAAATGGGTTGATGATGGTGACTGTAAGTTATGGTGTATTTTTGTTATACGTATACAATGATATTTTGTTTGTTAAGGCGAAGTTACCACGAGGCATCGAGAACATCCGTCCGCACATCGAGCAGGTGGACAACGTGCCGCTGCTCGTGTCGCTGTTTACGGACTGCGACGCGCGATCTGTCAAACTCATGATTAAGATAATGCAGGTACGATAGACCATGCTTGTATGACCTTGGACCTCTCGGTAGTAGTTAGTTAAGTTTGTCACGACCGCCCAACCATGTCTTGTAGGTTGTAGGTTGTAGTGTAGCCTTGAGAGTCCTTATAGTGGTTTATCATTTTTTGACGTATCAGGAACTGTGTACGGTAGCTTCGACATTTTGCACTTTTCCACAAAAATGTGTGTGATATATGTGCACAAACACGTTACATAGTTATAAAACGTATATAACAAATCATATTTGTAATTTTGTATGGAGTGAGTCATGATGAGAGATAGCACGTTGGTTCGAGAATTTTGATGGGATTGACGACGGAACGAAGCAATGTAAGAATGACGAAAAAAAAGAATTAAAAAGAATAGAAATTTCAAAAGCATTTGGCCAGAAACCAGAGCAAAGGGTAATAAAAAGATGGGGATGATCATGGAAGAGGTCACATCGTCACAAGTTAGTTGAAAGTTGTAATTAGTTGGGGTGAATTGACATTCAATCGCGAACGTAGGAAATGTAAAAATTTACTGAAAATTTAAAACACAAGTTATAATGGATGTTATGTGACGTTAATGTGTCAACTAAACTAATATAAATTGGCTGCGCCGAAAGTAAACCGCAAGCTTAGCACAAACACAACCTTGTAACAATGCTCTATTCTAATTTTTAAGGCCGCCGTATTAGGGATGCCCGATTTTTTGCTTCAAACATATCATCTAAGACACAGCATTTTTTTCGCACACATTCATAGCGCACTAGGGAAACCCTATATCGCTGGTGCCATGGACGCACACATAGGCAACTACAAATTACACTCAAACTCACGAGAGATATAAATGTAGGCCATAGAAATATTTCTCCCGGCCCGGGAATCGAACCCGGGACCTCTGCGTGGTAGACCGGCATGGTAACTCTTCGGCCATTGAGACAGTTATGAAATATATGTCGCGTACTGTTCAAGGTCATTAGTATTTATGAACAAAAATGTTACAGGACTATGGCGAAGTAGTATGCGTCATGGGATCTGCTGCCAACTGCTTCAACATGGAAATATTCATGCAAGCTGACGCCAGGTAATTTTTCCTCCCAGTTAAGGGCATTGTTCTAAATTACATATCGATGCATCAGGGAAGAAAAGCGTCAAGGTCAAACTACAAAGTTTGGCAAAGGCGATGAAAAAATATTTTTATTAGTGATCTGCTTCCTTTTGAATATTTTTTTTTATTTTATTGTATTTTTGAGGGTACAAGCAGCTTGTATCACAATGTAAAGTGAAAGAAACTATATTAATTATTAACTGTTAAACTATATTAAATAATTATAAGCAAAAACATATACCGATAAAAATACAATAGCAAAATACAGCATTGACAACACTAAACAAATAAACGACATTGTACACACACACGTGACACATTACAGAAACAATGTAACATTACACAAATTAGATTACTTTAGTAATAGAACAATGAATTAGATAATGCCTTCTAAACGTACGCAAACTTGTGTTAAACAAATCAAAATTGTAAAGAGAAAAAACTTTGTTGAAATTATTGCTCGCACGCCATGTAAACGAATTCCGTTTTTAATTTTGTAAAGTGACAGGTAAATGAATTAGTTCCTCGTTACGTAAATGCTTAGTTGGAAGTTAAAGTTATTACGTCAAAAACAAACATATTTGACGAAAAATATGCATCTTAGCAGTAGCAGCAGCTTGTGTAAGATTTCGTCCAAGGAAAACTGCCACTTTACCTATTTCTGCCGACAAGCAGTATTGTAAACATTACTGTGTTCCAGTTTCGAAAGGCAAGGGTGCTGGTGAAATTACAGGCACATGAGACTTGTCAACTTTTGTCTAAGGTGACGGGCGCAGTGGCAGTGCCCCTCAGATCTTTGCGAGTTCGCGGAATGGCACGCCAACTGCTATAGACTAGCGTGCCGCTTACCACCAGGTGCACGACTCGTTCGACACGTTCTTTCCGAAAAAAATTGGCTTTAACGCCTTTTCTTCCCCGAAGTATCGACGTATATGCGATTATAAAGTCAGTTCTCGTAACTGACGTTGTTTATATTTACTTTGAGATCAAGAACCCATTGACTCACTGTACGAATGTACGCCGCAGACAGGATGCTCCGAAAACATGTCCATACATTCCATTCTACCAACCTGTTTAGAGTAATTCTGAATATTTAGAGTCCGAGATATAGAACCGACTTATCAAATGACACCAGTGCAGTGTCCACTTGTACTACACTTGTAAAGGCGCTGGTGGGGTTCTGTAGGATAGTAATGTAGCCAGGATAGTAGTAGTAGCCTCCGCAGCCTCTTACTTTGTAAGTTTAAAGTTCAAAATGGTAAAGAACTAGTGGTAATAAATCCAGTTTTATAAATATTTATGCCAGTTTTAACAATATTTATGATTTTTAAAATGTTTATCGTATAAGAGATTTTTAGTAACTGGTAAACGGCTCAAAAAAATAAGAAGGAAAAACGTGTTTGCTGCCGCAATCGTGCAGGGTATGACGATGGAACGAAACAAAATCCGAATGCGAGGCAAAAGAACTATGGACAATTCAAAATTTAAATTTAAATGCGAGTGGCCAGGAACCGGAGAAAGGCGATAAAAAGGTGGGATAACGATGTAAGGAAGTCACACCCTCACAGACTTTAGTACATATATCGTAAACCAATGTTTGCAATACAAAAATATTTTTTTAGTAACTTAATAACATAATAATCGAATCCTTCTTATTCGTTCTTATAAATCATTGTCCCTAAATAGTCTTCGTTACAAATAATCTCGATAGGATATTTAAGTCGTTTTTTTTCTTCGTTCGATTTTACGTCACTACATCCCTAGAAACTTCAAATCTCAAACTTCACCTTACTCATGCTCTGTGTGAAATGAACTAGTTAATAAATTAGTATGTCTAAACAAAAGAAAATAACAATAGATTGATGCTTCACTTAAAACAATAATAACAAGATACTATAATCCAAAATTTTATAGTTAATTGTGTTAACCTGTAAAAATACATTAAGTTTTGGAAATAAATTAAACATAATAAATTTAAAAAATATTATTTTGGACAACAGCACATCAGACTACACATTTTTGTTCGAAAATCGCCTCCAGTGCAACGGAACAAGATACGTCAATGTGTAGCTTGATGTGCTGTTGACTGTACCATATACAAATATTTTTTTAAATTTATTATGTATAATTTATACTACATGTAACATAATAACTAATAAGATTTAGAGCGCTAATAAAATACAATATAGCATAAAAATACTTAATAACTGCCTCCGTGGCCGAACGGTTACCATGCTGGACTGCAATTCAAGATATCCCGGGTTCGATTCCCATGTCTGGAGAAATATTTGTTTGTCCTACATTTATGTCTCGTGAGTTTGGGTGTCTATTTGTTTGTCCATGGCACCCGCGATACAAGATTTCCCTAGTGCAGGGCTACCTATATATAGAGAAGGAATGAATCTTTAAAATCCTTAATGAGGCAAGCTTTTGAAAGTCTTTGAATGCAGTACTACTTACTTTTAAAAATAATGTTTCCATGAGGCAAAATAACTATCCTATCTACTACTGGCCCTATAGCTAGATTATATCCCACTTACAACAGAAAAAGATAAAAAACATTTTGTCACGTACTCAATATTTTTTATATGTATATGTGCAGCATAGCGGTGGAACCTTTGTACCCAGTGCTGTGCCAGAAAATGCCGCCGTATCAAACGCCCGAGAAGTGCATAGGTCCCGTCGACATTGCGCGTGCGCTCAACTCCGTGCCGTGCTCGCTATCGGTAAGAATCAAATTTTACAAACTTTTCACAAAACTTATAAGATGACAAAAGCAATTGCTCTCACGTCAAATTCAATTAGTGCCACGAGTTCTATCAGAGTCTGTAATGTATCATATAAATATTTTTAACCTAACGCTCATTTAATACAAAACTTTTTTCTTACAACAATTCACTTAAAGACACTCAGGGGCTATCAGACTGGTTTTCTATTGTACGAGTACAATAACTAACCGAAGGAAACAATAAAGGATAATATATATAAAGGCTATAATTAATTAAGATAAAATAACGTCCACGTGGGAGCGTGCCTGTGCGTGCGCACGGTTCAAAGATGACAATCTGTTTTGTTCAAGATGGCCACCTCACCAGTGCTTGGTTTCCGTTCTACTATTGATGTTAGGTAGCGCTAGAATCGTTTCAATGACAACCATTGATTAGAGATGGCGCCACTAATCCTATTTTGTGACAGCGCCGTCACACTTAATATTACGAGTGTTCATATTTATTGACAAAGGATATTCCACATAGAAAACTGTTTTCGTCCATTATAGCAAAGCGCAAGTTAACTGGTCGACTTGAAGTGAAACAATTGAGGACACCCATTCACGACACCCGTCAATTGTTTCATATTCGGGCTGGCCAACCGGAGCGCAGTTGTCACAGTAATGATATGCCAGAATAGTTTTGAAACAAATTAAATGACATTTCGTCTCTATTTCTGGTTATATACTCGATGAACCCAACCTAACATACTATTACTTGGGCGCACATTACAGGTAGAGGTAATAAACCTTATTACCTGTAAAAATTATCTGAATTGATAATATTAAAATGATCGTTATATGAAAATGTTCTTATTAAATGTGAATGTTTGTGATTATAACAAATGATAATTCTATGAAATTAAATTATGGGAATTGTATTGAGTCCAAGTGAAAATTATATTAAATTTTTAAAATTATATTAAAATATTTTTTCCATAAAATGTGCCAATATTTAGAATAGCACTAGACTACTTTGTATGAGTGATTATAAGTATTAGTTACTGTGATACATCAAAGTCATTTAACAGCTTGTAAAGCTAATAGTGGACCTCGACGTTTAAGCTCAACTTTGAATGTATAATATTTTTTTAAAGTTTTTTGTTTTTAAGTTAGCTGGTGGCAAAAACTGCACGGATTTTTTGGCCGACCAATGTTTAATTTCAAGTGAATTTAAAATTTTCGGTTAGGAAAATTAATAAATAGCCTTTTTTCAGACTTTGCCGCGTTTATAATTATAATAATTTGTTAAATATATATAAATATTAGACAACATCAAATACGTTGCTCTGATCCCAAAATAAGTAGCTAAAGCACTTGTGTTATGGAAATCGGAAACAACAACGGTACCACAAACACCCAGACCCGAGACGATATAGAAAAGTTAGATTTCTACACTGACCCAACCGGGGATCGAACCCGAGACCTCCGAGATGGCGACACCATGAAAACCGGTATGCAAGCTACTCGACCACCGAGGCCGTCAAAAGATTTGTTAAATACATACGTTGCTCAATGTTACAATTTTCTATATTAACCCGGCTGGGGATCGAACCTGGGACCAAGGAGGTCGTCTGAAGGTGGTGAAAACTTTTTTTTACTAAAAAATAAGTGATCATTAACGTTAGTATGTACTATTTTAAGAGTACACACAAAACACAATAATAATAATAACTTGGTTTTACACGCTGCCAATAAAGCTACAAAACAAATGGCAAAATGAGCCGTTCACTAAATACTGCAGTGACAAGGTAAGTTTTTTGTGTGCGTGATCACCATGACAATCGTATCAGAAAGTGTGTTGAAGGTTCGTTCAGGGAAGTACTGCCACAGGACCTATTTCTGCCACCAAGCAGTATTGGTAAGAGTGCTTGTGAAACTACAGGCACATAGGCCTTGTCAATTTTATGTTTCTGGGTGACCGGCACTGATTTAAACTCTAAATGCACTGCAAATATGATTGGTAGGCGTGTCGCTTACCATCAGGCGCACGACTTACTTGTCCCGTCACTTGTTATCCAGGGCCTGATACCGGTTTAAAAAATACATTTTTCATTTCGTTATCGGAATACCGATACCAATAGAAAACCGATATAATAAGCTAAAGATACCGGTATACAGTAGCGGTTCGTGAGACGTAGTCAGTTTGCTACGCCCGGTTGCGGCCGTGAATAGTATTATAAATAGGAAATGAAACTATTTTTCCTGATTTAAATCGCGTATTTTTGTTTTTTCAAACAAACCGACGTTTCGGGCCCTTTACAGGTCCCATGGTCAAGGTTGTCTGAGACCTGTAAAGGCCTGTAGAAGAAAGACATTTCCTATGTGTAACAATCGCGAAAACCTAAGAACTCGATAGTATTATAAATATAAATAATTTAATATTAGTTTGGAGAAAGGGAAGGGAGTCTTCTGGCCTGTAGTAGGACAAAAACAGCTGAAAAATGAAATGAATATTAAATTAATTTTTGCGTAATAATATACCTGTGTATAGTTGTTACAAAAACCTGATAGGTCAGTGAAATCATTTGTTGAAAATACTGGTGTAGTTTATACCGGTACTGAATTTCACCAGTATTTACCGCAGCGTACTGTAGTAAGGTTAATGGTACCGGTTCCTGAAAATACCGATATGTCATAAAAAAAACTGTTGGTATCATAAAAAAAACGTTGCCTGGACGAGATTGCTACTGAGAAAAAAGTCGCGTTTTGTACCTTGTTTTAAAATTGTTGTATTTTTTTTTGTTTTGCTAGAAAGACTATTTGTATTGTATTGTCTTCCAGATGACGCGCGACGCAGACGTGTCGCTGTTCACTTTGATAACGATGTCGCGTCACTTCATGGCGTGTCTGTGGAACAGCACACAGTTTTGGATCTGCAGCGTTTGCTTCATAGCACTACTGCAGGTGACTTAGCTTAAATTTTTAACGTGTTTTCCGTCTAAATTTGTAGCTTCCTATGTGTTTTCACTTGAGTTTTTTTTACATTTAGTTTTAATTAATATTTACGATATAAAACAACATCAACAACGACGGTGAAAAAGCTATTTAAACCCAATATAATACACACACTTACGCACGCACCAACACACACACACGTACGCACGCAATAATTTCTTTTAATTACTCAAGTAACTCTACTGTGATGGTCCTTTGTTTTGTATTGTGGAGATAAACAATAGTTATTTGTTATGCAAGTCTGCAAAGTTGTTGTTAGACGGGAGTGCCTGTAACTAAAAATATAACGACAGCTCTAGCTTAGTACAAGACGAATATGGTTACTCCATTCATACGCCGCAGCGCAGCTTATATATCGTCCGTGTTTTGTAGAAAGGACGTAAGCGATATTTAGTAGATTTTTCAGGGGAGCATGTTTAAGGTTTTAAGGACTGTTATCGTTTTTGAAAATTCAATTTCGAAACTTAAACTTAAAACAGGACTTATATTTTAAAAGAGTCATTAAAACTTAAAACATGCTCCCTTGAAAAATCTACGAAATGTCGTTTACGCCCTTTTTACAAAACACCGACGCACACATTCGCAAAATAATGAAATGCCCGTGAGACCAACGCTATGCAACGTGTGTACACGGCACATACTATATGTTTGTATAGGGTTACCATTATTATATTATGGCTCTAGACTTGGGTCACTACTCGAAACCAATTAAGAAAAATTTGATTCTTGAATTGGTCCTACTGGGAATCGAACCAGTGACTTGGTCATCTATGGCCTCATTTTAATGTTCAGGTGGGTTCTCTGTACGCGTTCCTGCCGCTGTCGCTGTCGGTGGGTGGCGCATTGTGGAGCGGCGTGGTGGTCGTGCCACTGCTGGGCACGGCACTGGCCTTCGCGCCCATCGACCCTGCTGTCATGCAGCGCGCGGCCAACCCAACCAAAAACATTAACATGCATTATAAGGTAACAGTACAATACAGTGTGTACCACGGCCATGTCACGCGGAGAGAAATCACTTTAAATATTACGATATTTAATTTTAAAGTAGATACTACGTATGTTTATTTATCTTAATAATAATAATAACAACGCACACACTCAACATAGCCCCGCACTAGGGAAACCCTGTGTCGCGGGTGCCATGGACACGCACATAGACAACTACAAATTACACCCAAACTCACGAGAGAAATAAATGTAGGTCATACAAATATTTCTCCCGGCCCGGGAATCGAACCTGGGACCTTTGCGTGGCAGTCCTGCATGGTAACCGTTCGGCCACGGAGGCAATTCTGATAATTTAAAAAAATTAAAAAAAATCTGGTAATTTATAATATTTCTCTCTCATTCTCTCTTGCACGTTGTTGTTGCCTTTGCTCTCGTTGCCGTGGGTTGGCTGGAAAATATATGTTTTAGCGGTAAATCCACCTTTGCTCACCTTTCGTTCAAATAATATATAATAATGGTAGCAACAGAAGTCCTTGTGAAAGAGTTCGTCCAGGGTAATACTGCCACCTTACCTATTTCAGTCGCCAAGCAGTAATGGCAGCATTTCTGTGTTCCGTTTTGAAGTGTAAGAATGCTGGAGACATTACAGGCACATGGGACTTGTCAACTTGTCTCTGGGTGACGGGCGCAGTGGTAGTGCCCCTCAGATCTTTGCGATTTAAAGCTCTGAATGGCACTGTAACTGTTATGGACAGGCGTGTAGCTTACCTTCAGGCGCACGACTTGTACCTCCCGTCACTTGATGTTATAAAAAAAATCTGTTGTATTTATCAAGTTCTTAAGTTTTCGCGATTGTTACACATAGGAAATGAAACTATTTTTCCGGAATTAAATCGCGTATATTTGTTTTTTCAAGCAAACCTACGTTTCGGGCCCTTTACCACGGGTGACCGTGACCATGGGACCTGTAAAGGGTCCGAAACGTTAGTTGGTTTGAAAAAACAAATATAAGCGATTTTAATCCAGAAAAATAGTTTCATTTCCTGTCTGTTGTATGTATTTGGTGCAGTAAAGAATATAATATGTTTATTATTAGGTTCCTTTTAGGTGTAAAGTAAGATACTATGTTACTTATTACCATGAACCAATAACTGAAGAGGTCAGTTAGTCTCCAAAAAAGGTCAAAATTCCTTGTTATATCTAGATGGCGCAGATCAATAGCCTGGACGTTGTTTATATTATGCCAATTGCCGTGCATTAACGTGAAATATAAGAAATCAGTTTTTTTTCCTTGTAATATTATTCAAATATTAATCATGGGCTTAAATTATTTTCTGAACTTTGATAAATATGCGTGTCAATAGGTGGCATTGCTTATTACAAACTAATTTACAAATTAACGCTTCCTAACTTGAGTAGATGGCGCTAATCCTAAACAAAATAAAAGAATAGCCGATGAAAGAAATAACCGGCACGATCCATGATATTCTGTGCAATGAGCGACATCTAGTTAATTTGTTTGTTATCACTAAAATTAGAGTAGCTTTGATAAATTGCAACTTGTCAATGTTAAAGGAATTAGTTACAAAACTGCCTAACTGCCTCTGTGGCCGAACGATTACTACGCCGGGGTCCCAGGTTCGATTCCCGGGCCGGGAGATATATTTGTATGGCCTACATTTATTTCTCTCGTGAGTTTGGGTGTAATTTGTGGTTGTCTGTGTACACTGCGACACAGGGTTTCCCTAGTGCGGGGCTATGTTGAGTGTGTACGTTATTAAAAAAAATAGCTATTTGGCACTCGTCGCGACATCTGGTGTACGAATAGGTACTAAATACCTGACTACGCTGTCTTGTATCGCGTTTAGCAGTCAGTCCCCTTGAGTTATTTTCCTATGCTTATTGCAAATTAATCCATATAATTGTCTCTCGGATCGGCATCATAAAAATACAGGATTTTTTTTTTTCACATTTAGTCAGTCTGTTACCCAGATGAACTTTTTTACAAGTCTTTGAATGCAGTATTACTTACTTTTAAAAATAAAATACTGTTTCTACGGAGCAAAATACCATTACTACAATATTTAAAGTACTTTTTAACAAATTATTATTTTGACATCTAGTCTC